CGATTCGGAAAGAAGTCCACTCTCATTCCTCCTTGGTCACAAAGATGCACTCCGCTGTATTCTCGGAATCGCCTTAGTCTTCAAAGACTTGACGTCTCAGTTTTTAGTGAAGAACTGTGAAAACGGTCGCGTCCGTGATATCAACAACATGGACACCACAAGTATCAAATGTGGAAATTTGAGACTATCCGAGCTCATACCAGGTCGTTCATCACAGATCAGATCCCTTTCGGGGACAGTTCTCCGCATGAAGGATAATTTGTACTGCAAGCTAAACGTTGGGGCGAGTCCTCGCAATGATGGTACTGAAGCAGGTGTGAACGGTGTCGAAGGGCAGCGTACCAGGGACACATCAGCGCGAGAGATACAGCCTTCAGTGGATGGCGGTGTGCTCGTCATTTAGCATAGGTACAGTCAATGAATCTTTACTTCACTTTGGCCAAAGTGTTTACTAGTAGTCATTGTCCATACTCGAGCGCCTGAATCTGGTCCTCTCTGGTTCCGGAGCAGTCCATTCCCTCTGCCGAGCTGGACCACGAAACGGAGAAACATCATGGTAACCGTATCCGTATAGAAGTTCATCGTTTGCTTCTATTCTCTGCCCTGTGCCATAGCCAATGCCTTGACGTTGATATCGTTCACGATTATCCCGTCCCCTACCAACCCACTCGTTCCGATCTCGCCAGTCCCCTTCATCTCGAGCATAATGATGGCGGCCGCCCCTTTGTTCTCCTCTCCTGTCATCATTGTATCCATCATATCCGCTGTTCGTCCTCTGGGGTGGGTGTACATGAGGTACATTGAACGGGCCATGGAACGGGGTTATACTCGGCCTATGGTGTAAATGTTTGGGGCGGACAGCCGACGGATGCCCTGTTGCTGTTCCATTAATGAAGCTGCGCAGCGATTCATTCTCCTGCTGCAGCCTGCCCACTTCTTGAAAGATCTGATCAACAGTTCTGGTCGTTTTGCTTGCTGTATCATACAGCAATGATACCAGCGCTCTAACAGTCAGACTACCGTGGAGGACCCACTGCTTGGCAATGACGAGCGCGGGAAGGCCTTCCACTAACGACAAATCCTGTGGATGAAGACTTAGGGTCATAGGCGAGGACCGCCTCTCCTCCATGCGCCGCTGCTGACGCGCAGCCAACCGAATCCTTTTCGATTTGAAAGAAAGGTATCGCACTTCTCCTCCTGCCTTTCTCATATCCGCCTCTCCCGTTCCATGCAACGCGTGGAAGTACACGCAGTTAGATAGATGCGGATTTGTGCTCACCATATAGCATTCCAGATGTCGTGGCAGCTTATGCACAAACTCCATGAGAGAAAAGAGCATCTGGCTCCCATTCACCCACTTCACATCCTTGCATACGTCCTTCAGCACTGTAATGGTACCCTCGTTCACCAAGAATAGGCGGCCGCCCCTTGTTGCCTCGTTGAACCAAAACGCACAAAACATGGTGCATATCTCCATGCGAAACATTTGCCAAAGCCTGCCACATCTTTCTGACATCACGCCTCCCTCCCTTACGACCATTTCTTCATGGTAGTAGTAGATGACCGGCGGCAGTGGTAGCGGAACTCCCTCAGGGAACTTCAGAGCTTGCAGCCACTGTGGGCATTGGGGAAACACCTCTTTATTTGAAGCATCGTCAAAGTACATGGTCTTGTAACAGTCAAAAGGTATAAGCAGTCCATAGCGATTCCTCGTATAGCGCTCGTATGAGAAGTTTGCTCTGTGCTTGAAAGCATTCCACCAACGCCCCATCAATGGATCAGCGAAAAGAGGGAACTTGTGGCGACGTAGGGTATGACGGGACTGCAACACGTAGTCCATTTCGTCAAGATAATAACAATCGAGTACATCTCTGGCGAAAGTGCGGCCGCACGTCAATGTACTGGGCACCTCCCAATAGTTGCTATTGGCAGCAAACTGACTCCACCCTTCCATGGCCGATGCATTATCCTGCATCGCGAGCTGACGGAACCACTTCACATCTCCTTTCTGGTGCACTGTGTGCTGCAGCACATACTTCCGAAAACTTAAATCCTGAACGGGAACCGAGTGCCAGTTGTGCCGGCCCCTCATCCTTCCAATACCAAATCTCATGGGCTCGGGGCCATCCCTCACATTTGTGCACAAAGCACAGTCTGCCCGTGACTGTACACAAGTCAGGCCTGCCCATGTCGAATCAAATGTAGGAAGCACAGGATTTTTATCCTGTACCGTATTACCTCTGGACACAACGAGGCCCCCATGGAGACAAAAGTCAACAAGCGGTGCTGTGCACCGTGGTGTTACAACGCCGCCGGTGGGTTGTGAGTGTTCGGCGTCAGGAAGTGGGGTGCGTGGTAGTGTGTGGTCCGTTGGCGACTGCGGTGACTGGGGTGCTGGTGAGGACGGCTGTCCAGCTGTGAGGTCAACTACGAAAGGTACTGCAGAAGGCGCAGACATGGCAGGTGTTTCCAAGTTTCCAATAAACAGGGGGGGATGAGGGGTCGGAAATGGAGTTGCAACTGGGGTGGGAGTGATGCGTTTCGGTCAGGGTCAGTCGTCGTAGGGAAGGCTGCGAATGTGTGATGTTTGAGTTAGGAAGGTGGAAGGTTGAAGGTCGGCACGGGGGGGGGTGGAAGGTGGAAGGTCGGCACGGGCGGGGAGCCGGGAGGAGTCGTCGTGGGGAAGGCTGAGAATGTGTGATGTTTGAGTTGGGAAGGTGGAAGGTCGGCACGGGCGGGGAGCCGGCAGGAGTGTGCACACTGTGTGATGTTTGAGTTGGGAAGGTGGAAAGTGGAAGGTCGGCACGGGCGGAGAGTCGGAGTAGTCGTCGTAGGGAAGGGTGAGAATGTGTAATGTTTGAGTTGGGAAGGTGGAAGGTGGAAGGTCCTAGCGGTGCCCCCCAAGCATTCCCAAAAGAATATGCCATTTTCTTCCTCTGTGTCTCCCACTAACAACCTCTTCCAGTCTACAGGGGAAGATTGAGATCCTCGCGGTTGAATGGCTTTACTTGCCTTTGCGGCTGTGTCGGCCCTGCATCCGCAGACGCGCAGCAGTTCTTGGATCACAAGGCCAACTCTATTTAATAGACTTCTTGATCCACTCGCTTTCTCCCCACGCACCACAGAAGGCACAAGGAACTCATCTAGAAGAAAGGCAACCAAGCCATGCACGGTACAAGAATACGTATGACTATCACGCAAAGAACTGGCGGACGTATTGGATTGCGTACGTGAGAACTGCATCACAATCGCAGGGTCCACAGCTCCAATCTCACCGATGCAGTGCATTACTATATTCTGACAAACCTCGTTCTTGGTCTTATTGAGATTTTCCACCAGACCCTCAAGCAGCCTGGCTATAACTTGAATCTCTCTGTTCTTTTTGTATCCCTGAACGCGGTCGAACGTAATATGCCATCAAGTAACTTCCGGTTTTTCTTAAGTAGTGACCGAAGGAAATCAGCAGCCATCACTTCGATCACCCCATTCTCATGTTTTGTGATGATTTTTCCGACGGATTCGCATGTCATCAACAAATTATGAGTCACAGGTGCGTCAGTTTGTATAGAAGCGTCGGTTTCAAGGGGGTGGACACTCTCAGAAGTGATTTACCCCGCGATCTGTCTCGCAGTTTCCTTCGGCACCGGGTGCTTCGCCATCCGGAGAAGTAGAACAATTTCCGCCTAGTCTGCAAACGAATGTCTTTTACCCTCTGCGATTAACCGATGGAGAGTTGCTGCTAAAGTATCTTCTGCCGATGACACCATCGGCAAAAGAATAGCCAGTATTGATCCCAAGTGAGGCAACATGCGCTTTGGACCAAGATGCAGTAGAAAATTAGTCCATGCCTTCATCGTTTGCTGATGGAACCACGGGCTCTCTCTTTCAAGTTCTGCAGCCATTTTCAAGGTGGCGAGAATCTTGGGGACGTAGGCGTGCAAGCGCTCATGGGCGAGGCCAATCACACCATCCAGCATGCGCAAATAATGCATACGGTCCTATTCAGAGGCCTTTGAACTAAAGAGGCCTCGGTTTACAGCATCCATGACAAGCATGAAGTGCGTAGATACCAAGGCTCCCACAACATTAGGTTCTGTACTGCTTCCTTGTTGGGAGATTGGAAGAATCTGGGCTACTGAGAATACCCCCTGTCCAGATTAGGAACAAATTACATCGATTTGCTGCATATTCACTGGCCCGATCGGTATGTCTCGATGTTCGGTGCCGGTAAAGTTGCTTATGACTTTTCGAAGGAGCGTTCGAGTGTCTCGTTTGAGGTACAGGTGTCCGCTATGGATGAGTTGATCAAAGAAGGAAAGGTACGTAACTACGGGCTGAGCAATGAAACAGCGTGGGGAGTGGCTCAGTTGGATGCCGTAACACGCAGACTTGGTGCGGCGGCACCGGTCTCTGTCCAGAACAACTACAGTTTAATATATCGAGACTTTTAGGCTCATTTGGCTGAAGCATGTGCCCCATCGAACGCAAACATGCCTCTTCTTGCCTACAGTCCCTCAGCTGGTGGAGCTCTAACCGGAAAATATTTATCAAAAGAGGTACCAGACGGAGCGCGATTCACCGTATATCCAAACTACATGAAGCGTTTCCAAAGTAGTCTTGCCTCAGCCGCTATGGCTGAATACAAAATAGCCGATGATGCCGGCCTCACACTCACTCAGCTGTCGCTGGCATGATGCAAGAGCAGATGGTTTTTTCAAAGTACTATCATCGGAGCAACATCCGTCGCACAACTCGACGAAGACTTGAATTTGTTCGGTGTGTAACTCGATAAGTCAACTATCACTGCAGTCGATAAACTTTATGCCCGATACCGTGACCCGTCAAGGACTTCCTAGTCCATTCGGATTGTGACCGTCACAGACAACTGCAGTTGCCCTTCTAGTGCACACAAAACAGCCCGCCGGCAGCAAGACACGACGTCTATGCAAGGCAAGGTTCACGACTCACACCGCCAGCCATGGCAATATTTTTGAGCAGACCTACAGCAGAACCAAGGCATTCGTTTCCTTAGCCATTGGACGACACTTCCAATTGTACAGGTGGTAGTGGAGCTCTCCGTCTCCGATGTGGAACTTGAGATCTTTGAAAAACTCAGAATGCCTAGCCAAGTCAAGCGCATTAAATACATCAAACCCATTCTGCCTCGCGAAAACCAAAGCATCTTGCAGGATGTCTATTATTGCAGTCTTCGCAGCTGCTGCGAAAAATAGGTATGCAGCGTTGAGAGTCTTGTGGGCTGGGTGGCTGATGATACTTGATGGGAGACAATAGAAGGAGATCATGTCTGTAATTTCGTGAGACTCTGGATCTTCAACAACATACGAATATGTAACACCTTCTCTAGGCATCAGCCAGTGAGCAAACTCATCTTCGGTCATATCAATATGCATATCGAATTGATCGAGGTATCCCATCAACAGTTTGCATGCCGCAGCACGTCGTCCGAACGCATCACACGAATTCCTGGTGTTGAAACACTGGGCTTCACTGCGAACAGCTTAATGGTGCGATTCATCGTCATTCGGGGCTGCAGCCGAGAGAACCCTGCAGCTCGCGTTTGGCAATCACGAGCGGGTCCCTCTCACCGGGTTGAATCTCCACCATGGGCGGCGCCCCCATGCTCAGTTGCAATGCTCTAGTCCCCAATATTCTCGCTATCGCAGAAAACCAGAGTGCACGCAGCATCTCAGTCTCACACGTGTTAGCAAAGGCTGCTACTATATCGGGACAAGCTCGCTGTGTAGAGCTGTAAAATGGCACGTACCTCGTTCGTACTTGGTCAGCGTGCGCGTTGTTACCCGCTCCTTCTCTTCCTCCTCATTCGGGTCCTCCTCGTCACCAAAGTCGGGCTCATCCATCGCGTCGATGCCATCAATTCCCTCGGGCATGTCATTCACCTCGTCGCAATAGTCCTGCATTCTGAGGTCGGCGAAAGGTTGAGTCAGTGGGTGATGGGACGATTTGCGCATGTGTGCGCCCCGGTTTTTCATGCTGTGAAAACATTGTAGCTGACTTACCCTCCATCACCGTCGTCGTCTGCCATTTTTCCTGTGCGTTAGTTGTTGCAACTCGTAGAATTGCTCAACGAAGAGCTCAGTTGGAAAAACACCTGTGAGAGCGCACGGAAACGACGCTCGCGAGTCGCAGCGTTGCTTCAGTCTCGCTGGCGATTCCACGTCCGCCGTCAGCTCTGTAACAGTGAAAGTAGCGATGATGACGAATGTGGAAAGACAGGGTGAAACTCGCACGGAACGACAACAACAAAGGAAAAGCGAAGGGGAGTTGGCAGAAGCGACGTCGAGAGCAAGTCATCCAGCGAGTGCACGCTCAGAAGAGGCAACGCCCGTCTAACCGCTCGCAGCCAAAGTCAACGCCGTTCAGGCTTCAGGCAGATGAATTTTCGAGCGGAATAGACAAGGAAAATCTTGCGAATGCCGTGGGCAGCGCCACGCCTGCGAAAGCAAAGGCAGCCAACGCACCCGGCAAGGTCAGACCGAGCTCTTCTGATAGTGTAGCCAAGCTTCCAAATTTAGTCACTGTCGGAGGGAGCGATTCCGATGAAAAGCAGAAGAAAGAAAGGGAACTGCCGACGAAGTCAAAGGTCCACTTCAAGGATACAGCGCCTGTTGCGGGTAAACCGGACCAGAGGCCTGAAACAGTGAACGCAACACTTGACATTCTCGGAAGAGACCCTATTCGCATCTCTGGAGGAAAAGAAAGCCAAACGAGTGGCACAGCTCCGACTGACCCGAGCGGCGCGACGAAAACCAGTAAAGAGGATGACATGTTTGGTATCAGTTCATTTGAGGAAACAGGGCTGTATCCGTCCGTGGCGCGGCACCTCACCAATCACATGCAGCTTGAATTCCCAACCCTCATTCAGGAGAAAGTGCTCAAGGCAATGTTAAACCTTGGTAATGGCCAAAACTCGATCGATGTGCTCGTCCGCAGTGCGACTGGATCTGGGAAAACGCTTGCATATTTGCCCCTCATAGCTCATTACTTGTTGAATAGGTCTCGGCGAGTGACACGAGAAAAGGGTTCCTTGGGCGTCATTATCGTGCCAACGCGCGAGCTTGCGGACCAAGTTGAAGAAGTCGAGGAGAGAGTGTTTTGGCCATGGCATTGGATTTTTGTTGGATGCGTACGAGACGGAGAGAGAATCACAGGGAAAAGGCGCGCCTCAGAAAGGGAGTCAATGTTCTTGTGGCAATAATCCTGTTGCGCTTGGGGTCGCGGCGGCAGGCCAAAATTTCTTGCTGCTAGCGGATGGCCTCGTCTTTCTCACCCGCCTTCCAGGGCCCCATGCGAGGGGTGCGGCCGGTGCGACAGCGAGGGCGTAGCTTGCGTGACAGGGCGCAGAGAAAGACAGAAGCAGAGAAGGACGGGAGGAGATGCGAGCGCAGTGGTCATGGTGGATTAGTGAGGGGAAAGAAAGAGGAGGTTGGGGGATACCGGAGTAAACAACGGTGGACAGAGAAAGGCAGAGTTAATACCCTGTACTGTAGTGTGTATCCGACCGACCAAGCTTATCATACCTCAACAGATCCGACAAATTTATTAATTTTTCATCATTTAGCCGACACGAATTCTTCTGAAAGAATATTTCAAGACCGCCATATCGCACTTGAACGGCGGGAGTTGTCAATGAAATACCTTGTAAATCACGAAGAAGCCATTTTCAATTTCGTACTACAAAGAAAAACTGCTTACAGTGAAGATTTCCAGGTTCTGCTTCGCTTTTAGAGATGGAACTTGTCTCCACAACAAACGATTTATGCTGATTGTGTCAAGGGCTATGTGGAGTACCCAGTAGTCAAATCAGAACTAAAAAACAAGCAAGGAGTTCGAAGAAAAATCCCTTTGTCCTCAAATTTTGTCCTCACGGTCGGATAGACACTAGCAGACCGCCACTTGTAATGTAGTTATTTGGTGGGCAAAATCCAAACCGCCAGGCCTGGCGACCCCTGCGCATTGTTCCTTCAACAACATCCTACACTCTCACTTCTTCCAACACCATAATCCACACAAAAATATCGGACGACAGCACCACCGTTCCTCATATGTCAGGTCGAAGAAAGAGACGTCGTACGATGGGCACTACTTGGATGGACAACGTCCCTAACTTGCCAGACCTGGCAGCCCCGTTCCATGGCGTTCATACACGACCAGGATGCGATCTCGATGGGGATGCAGATGCGGCCGCACTTATGGAAGCAGAAGAAACCCCAGCTCCCGAGCTTCCAGAAACTGGCGAAGCGGCTGATATTTTGGGAATGTTGAATGGGCACGCTTCGTCGAACAATCAGACTGGAGATCAAGGTACTAGATCGAAGATAAAGGGCTCGGAACATCGAGAAACGGTTGTCGTCGAAGAAGGAATAGATCTTGTCGACTATGATGAAGGCCACTTCCCCGAACTTGGCGACTCGAAACACTTCGCTCCCGAGAGCGATCCAAACGGTGTTTTAGTGGGAAATGACAATATCATTATTCCAAGTATTTATCAAGAGAGCTGTGAGGGGATGGAGTGCCTTCCGAGTTTATCAAGTGACGATCCCGAAATGGGAATCAGGCTGGACAGCCAGAAAGTTTTGCGAATATTTCTATCGTTTCGGAAGCTTTTCGAACCATGGTACAACCTTTTGGGCTTCGTAATAGTTTGCGGTAGCGTCCGCTATACGGTCAAACAGTATAACCTCCTGAGAGATATACTGTCTTGGGTTTCTCCTTCTATTAAGTTCCCATCTTATTCCACCGTACAGAGGACTCTCTTTCCGCATGCTTTGAAGTATCTTTTTCCCAAGAGTGACCTCAAGTACTTTGTCGTCCGACGAAAGAAGAAGGCATTCAACCGAACGTCATTGGCTGAAAATTTGGGGGGTAACGAGGAGACCGCATCGCAATATTCGAACGGGTCTAAAACTCCTGTTCGTATCGTTCCACCAAGTGAATGGGCGAAAATGGACATCATGATGGCTCCGTTCTTCAACTCAATGTATCCGAAATCCAGTCGATGGCATGGTGGTGTGGCGGACGCAGAATGCATAGAAAGCTCAAAGCTGGTTGCAGAGCGGCAGATAATATCGGAAGCTACGAGAGCACTTTACGTCCACAATGGTTCATGTACTGTGCAGGCGTTCCCGGGTGCTGTGATTCGACTGGAACTGTCAGAACTGCTTCCATCACGTTTGTCACTTGACGTGCGCAATCTGGGCTATCGTGTTCGTGAGAACGCAGAGAATAACTTTGTAATGAAGTGTATGATTTCAGCCGTGTGGTGCGTGGGAAGTGAGGGAAATGTTACAAGAAGCGCCAACATGGCGATGAAGGTTCTCCGTGGCGTGGAGAATTGCCTGGCCAGGCAGTTTTGTACAGCACCGCCATTGGAAAAGTATAATAGATCTGTGAGGCGTAGAGATGGAAGGATAGATTTTGAAGCAAGGGCTCGTTCTTCGAAGAAGGTGTTGCCTGGGGATATTTGTACCCTCCTTCGACCTACAGAAAGTGAAGCAGTGGCAACGTCGAGAATGTGTATGCTGGTTTCTAGGTTTTGAAAACACAAGGAAGGTCTCACCTCAGACACTTTGTTTTGGTTTCAAAACATGAGTACAAACGGGGCCGGTCAGCGTTTCAATGATGGTGGCGATGGAACTCCAGACAAACCCTTTCGTCTGCTCGGTACTCAACATTTGAAAGGGCTGCCTTTCCTCTTCCAAGAGCCCAAAATATAGGGACGCACCCGCAACATTGACAGAAGAATGCAAAACAGCGGCCGCTTAATGGATGGAACAAAGTTCGTGGTCTATCGCGCTCTCCTATACTGCGATGACTTTTCCCCATTCTCTTCATTGTATCTGCAGGGTTCAGCACGTGGATGCTACATGATCCCGCTTGGACTACCACTGCGAAGTCGTAACACGGGATCGTCTGTCAGAATCATTGGATTAACTCCTCCAGGTGTATCAACGAACAATATACTGCTCTCAATCATTCCAGACTTGGTTAAGTGTACAACAGAAGGCGTGGAAGCACACACGCCTACCGGCGAGAGAGTAAGAATCTTTGTCGACGTGGTGGGTTTTGTGGTTGACTATCCAGCGGCCGCTGAAACATTGGATGTTATGGGACATACAGCAAATACGCCCTGCACTCTTTGTACATTTCGGAAGAACACCGGCGTCGGTGAGAGCGGATACAGCTATACGACAAAAGTCCATGCACACCGCACGGCGTCCTTGAGGTGCATGGAACGCCATGAAGCTCTTCGCAACAGCGAAATTGACAGTCGAGACACAAACCGGCTTGGTATGAAAGACAGCAACAAGGTTAGTGACGAAAGTTCTCCTCTTTTTGCATTGCAAAGGGAACTTGAGCGCGTACGCGTTGACATACCGTTAACAAGCGATGGAAA